AAAAAATCGTGATTCTCATTTTATGCAAAATCGTGCAGCCCTACCTGACAGCACTTTTTTGCTTCTCATACTCTTTCACGTGATTCAGTTTATTTTGAAAAGTCTCAACAGGATCTTGAGCTTTATTGTGAAAGGTTTATGTGGAAAATAAACAAGCGGACACGGGATGGTTTTACCGTGGTTGTTGCTAATGTAAACGCATAAAAACAGTCGCTTGTCCGTCTGTAGTGTGGTTCTATTAAATATAAGAGAAACATAAGAAATTCTACAGTGACCATCAAAACGATGAAAAAATATCGCCATAAAAAGTTTATTCTGTGAATCACGAAACAAACTATAGAACAATTGACTTTTTCATATCGGCATCCGATATATATCGTTATATCGAACAGCCCTATTTCTGTAGTATTCAATAACGGAAACTGCATATAAATTGTATATAATACATCAGTATTTTAGTAAATTAGACAGATTAACTGGTTAAAGTAGCCAATGCAAATCCACATTTAAATTGCCTCTAATTACTAAAGTGGGCCACCCTTGCCCATCAGAAAGATTAAATAATCGTACTAATGCATCATTTAATCCTGGTCTGATCTGTAAATCTGTAACACATCACTGCTGCTGACATAGTTTGCAATGCAGTTAAAGTAATTTGGGGGTTGGTTGTTTGTTTGTTTGTTTTTTGCTAGGTTATGATTGGCTTAGATCTCAGGTATTTGATTTAAGAAAAGGTTAATTGAATGGATAGGGCAATGTTTTCCTCATTTTAAAGGTGACTTTTTATGTTTTTAAAATTTCAAAAGATTAGACGAAAAGGCAAAACCAAAAAAGCAAGATTTTGTTCATCTATCCACATTTGTAGAACTGCTTGAAATAATTAAAGTTATCAAATTTCTCATAAAAGCTCCACTAGGTTTACAAGAGATCAGCAATTGATTCAAATCCACAAAACAATGTTGCCACAGACCAAAGATTGGACAAGTCACCAGCATCATTAAGAGGGGCAGATTGTGATGGGTGGCTGCCCAGTCTGCTCTCAGTGGGGTTTTTCCTGTCATAGCCTGAAAGGTTTGCACAAATAGTGCATTGTGTGCAGTGAAATTAAAAGAACAACTACTGGGAATTTTGGAAAGTAAATTCTTCATTGCAATCCTTGCAGATTGTACTTTTATAGTATCCACACTATGTTTTGTTTTGTTTTTTCCATTTTGCTAATGCTAAAAGTTAACCTTGTTTTCCACAGAACACTGGGAAGAATGCAGGAGTGCTATCAAGCTGTGTTTCCAGGGCAACCACCTATAGTAAAGAAAGGCCATATTGAACCCATTGACATTACTGTGGCTTCTCGAGGGTCGAATAAGAAGGTGCCAATTTCTTTCTCCAGTTTGGCTATTTCTGGATGAATTTGTTTGTTTGTACTGATATAGATTAATGACCTTGGTGCTTTTTATGAATTCTTAAGCATATCCCATACACTAAAATATTTAACACTTATCATACAGATAGTGTGGTAAAAAGCTTACATGCGCTCATTATGGGCATGAGTTTCATGGTACAGTCATCCACGTGAAAAAAAAAAAAACAGCAAAAAAAAAACCAAACCCAAAAAACAAACATAATACAGACTGACAATATTAGTATAGTATTAATAATAGTATTTCCAGTCTCTTTTATGAGCTGCCTTGTAAAAAAACAGTGACCACGTCCTTAGCAGGCCTTCCTTCTTCCAGTAGTTGTGTGAAAATACTTAGTTAAGCTCTGGTTATATAACCCACCACCCATCATCCCACAGTAGTAATATACCTGTACTTTTTTTGCCCCCCCCA